TCCGACTGGAATCCTGCATCCGACTGGAATTCTGCAAATCCTGCATCCGACTGGAATCCTGCAGACGTTTCGCCAAAATCTCACTTGGCATCTTCAATGCTCGCGCTCCGAAAACACTTCGAACACGAGCGCGAGCATTGAAGATGCCAAGTGAGATTTTGGCGAAACGTCTGCAGGATTCCAGTCGGATGCAGGATTTGCAGAATTCCAGTCGGATGCAGGATTCCAGTCGGAGTTCAACGAGCGAACGGATGATATCCCGGAGTATAGTGTCATCATATATATATATATATATATATATATATATATATATATATATATATATATATATATATATATATATATATATATATATATATATATATATATATATATATATATATATATATATATATTCTCACGTATTGATTCACGGATGGAAAAATGTGATGACACTATACTCCGGGATATCATCCGTTCGCTCGTTGAACTCCGACTGGAATCCTGCATCCGACTGGAATCCTGCAAATCCTGCATTCGACTGGAATCCTGCAGACGTTTCGCCAAAATCTCACTTGGCATCTTCAATGCTCGCGCTCCGAAGTGTTCGAAGTGCTTTTCTTCAATGTCACAAAAATAAAGTAAGTTATTTAACGGTAAATCTAGTAGATCCCTCTTAAACTCCTGAAGATTAATGGTTTTTAATGATCTATAATAAAAACTTACAGGTTCATTATCTGGCAAGTCTAGACTGAATTTTATGTATGTTAAAAAGTAATCAGCGATGTTATTGTCGACAACCCCTACATCATCATCATCATCATTTTACGTTGGTAAATATTAAATCTAACATCGACATAGAATGTAATGCAATGCGGGTAGGTTCTTGTAAATATTAGTCCATATTGAAAATACAAAACACAGAAGTTATTCTAGTTCTAAGATCATTATTTAAATTAAGCACATTGATATTGAAATCACCAAAGCATATTAAGTTATTATAGTCTGAGTATACATTAAACAAGGATTCCTCAAGGGTATTAAAAAATTGTGATACGTTAGTATTAGGTGACCTGTAAACAGTACCCACCATAAAGGTTCGATTATTTAATAGTACTTTAACCCATATATATTCAATATGCTCAAGACAAGCAGATGCCAAAACTGTCCAGACGATTGTGATGCAGAAAATTATAATACGTTTCAGATACGCCAACGATATCATAATTGTTACTCAATAATTGGCTTAGAAAAGAGTCAAAATTGGCCAGCAAGGACCTTACATTAACATGTGCGCCACAAAAATTAAGATCCATTGAGAACTAAAGGAGGGAAGGTTAGGAAGGAAGGAAATAAATTTGATTTCTAAAATCATATAAATTCTTTGCACTATTTTTTCAACTCCAGTACTCCAGTCAACAGTACTCAAATGACATGATTACGTTTCATAAATTTCAAGGTACATGACGCCCGAATCATACACATTCACATTCAAAAATTCGTTAAATGTTAAAGACAAATGTTATTGAACTGGAATTCAGTGTTGACTTAAAAGATTAACCAAAACAGTGCAATTTTTTTAGTTTGAATATAGAAATAAGAATTTATGAGTTAGTTTAAATCATTTATTAGGACAAAAAAATTAAGAAGTTATAGATAAAATTTAGGAATGGACATGACTCTGAATGATAAATTATATTAATTTTTTTTCAAACAAACTTCCGCAGGCTATTGTAATACTTTTACAAAACTTCTGGATTCCTCCTTTATCGGTTGTTGAGTCGTACTTGCTGACGTTTCGCCATCTTATTGGCTTCTTCAGAGCTTAACAGTTTCAGTTAACTTTACCTGTGATGTAGGAATCTAATAAAAAATCACGGATGCTATGAAAATTTTCCAGAATTGGTTCACTGAACATTTCTGCCCGTGTGTTGAACGTTATTGCGAAATTAAAAAACTTGAACAATGAGCACTACTATTAATTGATAATGCTCCAAGTGACCCAACAAATTTATAACATTTAACAACATACATTTCAGTTGAAGTGGTTTTCTTACCGCCTAACACAACTGCCTTCATCCAACCAATGGATCCAAGCGTTATATCCAATTTTAAGGTTTATTAGAAAGGTAATTTGGAAAAACTACAATATCCAATAAGTTAACAGAGAAATCCTTGAAAGGAGTTTGGAAAATTATTTGGCCAAATTTAAGTAAGAGCGGAAGGCATTTAACGCTCTGTCGATATCGATGAAAATGTGGAATTAGTGAAACAAATTTGGAAGACTGAATAATTATTTTAAGAAACATCATCTAGTCTTTCTAATGATGAACTCAAGGAATTAACTGAGCAAGAAAAAATATTGATAGTAGTGATCTCGAAAAAGAGCAAAAAAAGGCTTTCGATGATGTTTGTAAAAAGGAATTTGACCACAATAACTGGAGTTATGGACCAATTGAATATCAGAAAATTGGAAATAGACAATAAACTGAATAATCTGACTGACTTTTATATTGTTTTTTTCTTGTACGGTATAAATTGTTTTATTTTTATAAAAATATACATGGTTATCAAATTTAATACCTAAATTTTCTATCCATCTTCCTTTCTTTAACCCCTGGCCTCTTTTAGCGATGTTTCACATTACACTTTACTTTGATGGCACGTATCCTACGCGTTAAGCAGGGTCTTACTGTAGACTTAGGCGAAGGGCCTAGGACATTATAATAATATATAGGGTATTCTAAAATAAGTAAGTAAAAATGCAAATATCCTGGGTAAATGACGATTTAAAGTTAAATGTTATTTCAAAATGTGAAATTCGTATTTTTAAAAACGATTATTTATATTACAAGCAACATACAATATTTACCGACGCAAAGCGACTTAAAGACTGTTCTTATGATTAGTGCGCGTATTGATATAATTAAAGCTGCTCATTAAGCATACATCTCGTAATACTATTCTTTATTAACATACTCATCATAAGTGTTCATATAACTCCTCCCTACTCAAGTTTGAGAAAAGCGGGGTTGATTTTCTAGAGTTTGTAGTTCTATGCCCACTTTTATATTTTGTTTTCTTTTCAGGTAACAATAATAAAATAAAATAATTACTCTTAGTGTAATTATAATAATAACTGTTACATTAATCGAAATACTAGAGTTTACCAAGGTTAAGTGTTTTAGAGGGTGACTTACTAGGTTTCGAGCACTTTCCATGTCTATTATATTTCAACATTAATTTCTCTCAACTGTAGTGGTTCGATATTTTGAACCAATTCTTCATTAATAGCTATTGACGTAAGCTTTAGTCTTAAATTAATTATATCTCTTTTTTTTATAGTCATAATTATTATTTCTAATTTTAACATTACACTCTGCGGGTAGAATTAAAGATGCTTTATTTATTATTTCGACAGTTTGTTGATTTGGACAATGAAAATATATATTTTCTCGGGAATTCGGGATAACTACAATAGAGTTATCATTAAACTGGGTAGCTGAGGTTTCTTTGTATTCAGTTGGAATCATTGGACAATGATTAGATAAATTAATTGTTTGTGGAATACAGGATTCGTTTTTATTGAGCAAATTGCTGGTAACAGTTTTCCTTTAGGTTAAAGAAATCGTCTGTCGATCTCAAAAGATAGGAATTATTTATAACGGGTATTTTATTATTAATTGATACGGGTTATATACGGTAGATACCATAAGACTTATTAAATATAAGGGATTATTTTTGATCCTACCGACTGCGCCAAATTTTATTTCAAAATGTGAAACTCGTATTTTTAAAAAACGATCTTTATTTATATTACAAGTAACACACAATATTTTCCGACGTAAAGCGACTTAAAGACTGTTCTATCTTATGATTAGTGCCCGTATTTACATAATTAAAACTGCTGAACAAGCATACATCTCGTAATACCATTCTTTATTAATATACTCATCATAAGTGGCCATATAACTGTTATTAGTGAATCCAAACAATTTTTGTCTTTTCGTTTTCTGAGGTTCTGAGATGAATTATCATCCTTTAATAAACCACCACCATAACTTCACCACACCAAAATCACATAATCCAATAGCAGCAGTACTAGCGTTAAGTCTTCTCTTAAGTAAAGAATTACATTGTCAACATTTGTCTGTGAAAGGACTATAACTTTCAAGGTAAGGGGATACAGGATAAGTTCTGGACAATCTGCCCCCATACAGTTATTAAATATGTAAATATAAGGATAATGTTATCCTATTCTATTAATTTTATTATGGGAGTTTCCGATAAATTACATTAAATTCGGGTCAAGTAATTATTGGATGCACTCTTGGCATAAGCTCAAGTGAACTACCCTACGGAATTGAAACAAAAAATAATTCACTGACTTACGTTCCGCCTTTATTTACTTACAAGAGATTGCTTTTTTGGATAAAAAGTAAAATCGCAATTCGTTATCAAAATAACCGAGTTAATCTTGGTTCTCAAGTAATCGCGATCTTATATGTTTGTCTATACTTAGTCCCAATAACAATTCCCGTTAACGACTGCAATAATTCCATTTTATGAATTGACGTTATTTTTGGCTCATTGTAAATATTTTATTATTAGCTTCAACTTGCCGTAAAAATTTTCAAACAATTTACACAATAATCGGCATTGTTTAAAACAGGACGCCGGAATGGAAAACTAAAAATAACGCTCGTAAAAATTTATAATCCGGTTTTACGATAACTCGCAGGACTGCACCCCCGCGCCTAAACTAATTAAAGTAAAAACTGGCGTCGCATTGCGTTCATGGCGGTAAATTTGATTTAATTTTACGTTACGCGATAAAACGCAATTCGAAGAGCGAAATATTATATAAATAGCGCGCCTAATTAGGGCTGTAAAATTAACACGTCACTTTCGGGGTGTTTTACGCCCACTTGATCACGTTTTAAAGTAATACCCACCACTTACAAGATTGCCTCCTATGTATCTAGGGAATTTATTTATACTTAAACCGCCTTTTGTTGCAGGAGTGTCCCGAAGGTGTGGTACATGAGGACAGCTTCAAAGAAATATATTCCAAGTTCTTCCCTCATGGAAGTAAGTAAAATCAATTAGATTAGATTTTGGTGTCTATAAATGTCCCAGTTCGGGCAACGAGGTACGGAATTAGGTGGTAAATAGACGGTCTTAGAAATTTGAAAAAGAATATATTACGTAAATCGACCAAGAGAAAATGCTGTAAATTATTTTTGAGTTTTTGAAATGACCACCAAGGAGCGCGATTGTTATATTGAATTTTAAAACTCGATTTATAAAAAAAATTACGTATTTTATAAGTATAATTCCACGGAATTCCATATCCCTTGGGAATTCTTCAGTATTCCATGAAAATTCTTTGTGTTTCCGTTCGGCTTAAGTATTAATGACTAACAACAATATGGTACCTAAACAAAATGAGTTAGTACAGGGTGGGTCAACGATAAAGCAAAGTTCATTAGAATTCCTTATAAAATGCTTTTTTTTATTAATAATAATATATTCCTAAATCTAATGATTTTTGCCAATATCTTAATTTTTCTAAAAGAATTCTAGTTTACACACTTGCAAAAAAAATTACGATAGCGGCATTATTTTAAAAGGTAGATCACTCATCATATTTGATATTAACGTTATTCTATGATGACGTAAAAGATGTATGCAACCGAATTTGTATTAGATGGTACAAGGTGTTCAAAATAAACTAATATATTTGAATCATTTTATGTTGAAAATTGTCAATTTTTTTTAATGACACGCTATTTTTTCTGAATGATCATACGAAAATCTAGAATTTTTATTAAGTGTGTCATAAACCTATTTTTAATACCTTAAAATTTATTTTAACTTCTTTGAATTTTCCTATCTTTCTGTCTAAGACTGTTGCTACAAAATCAGTTGGCAATGAAAAAACTATTAGCCAACAGCGCTCCGCTAAGATTAAAAAATCAACAGGAAATAGAACTTTGTTTTAATCGTAGATAAAGCCATAGCTAGTAATTAGCGATTTTTGTGAAAATGACGGCCAAATTTTAAATTCACGAAAAAGTGATTAAATCCCTATTACTACAAATTAACTTATCTTATTTTTAATTTTATTATAGTATATTCGTGCATCAGTTATTGTCAGGAGTTTTGTGAATCATTTTTGTGGTTTATTTGCAGTATATTCGTGGTAAAGTCTGTTCATAGATATAAGAAAGTGACTAACTGATATGAATTAAGGAAAGACGCAGGCAAGCTGAAATATGGCCGAACAGGTCCGTACTTTGCTTAGAATTTAATTATTTGTGGTTTTGTTAGGAAAGATACTAAACAATATTTATATATTTATGTATAATCTTTGTGAAAATAAATGTCGTTTTTATACATGTAGTTTTGGATTGTTGCTTTTGTGTCACATGAGGAAGGGGTTTTAGTCAGCTGTCTACTGTGATACCTTGCATTGTCCATTACAATGACGCTATTAGGAGGAATGTTTGGAACTAGTTTATTTTTAAACCAACCTTCAAATAAATCAGCGGTGGTGTCTTCATGGTAATCCAGAGAAGAATCTTTAATATTTTTCGCAGACAGAGAAAGTCCATTTGGAATCCAACCATTTTTAGAGCCAGCATGCAGCATTCTTTTACCTCTTTTTGATGGCGTGTTTGTTTTACACTTATCAGTTGAGTCAACCCAACCCTTTTCCGGGGCATCATAAGTTTCGAACCAGGTTTCATCCAAGTAAATAATTGGCCTTTGTTGTTCTCTCCTAATTTTTTCTAGATATTCCACTCGCCATTTCCGAATTCTAAAAGATTCCATTAAAACTTGCCTTTTGTCAATTTTTTTAAATCTAAAACCCATGTGTTGAATACACACATTTGCCACATTTAACACCGGTTCCATCTTTTTCAAGCCTCCTAATTAAGAAATCTAACGCTTTGTTCCTCGTATAACTGGTAAATTTTACGCCGTATTATATCTTAATCACTTTCATCTACACTCGAGAAAATGTCAGCATTGCTTCTTTGTTTCTTCGGTGAAATGGGATTATTCACAATTTTCCGTACAGTTGATGTTGGAATTTTCGTCAATGTGGCCGTTTCTTCTAAATATGCTTGCTTGCTGACACCACGTTCAATGAGAGTCAAATAAACATTGTTTATAACTCCCTTAGTCTCAGTAGAATAGTGTTTTCTACATTTGGGCGGGAACATCTTCTGAGATACACTAGACTCGCACATATTTTGCATAATTCGCACACGATTCAACACACGCTGTATTACACACGAAATAAGAATGATTACTTATAAATTTAAACTAAGTAGTATACCAAACCAAAGAATATTAAACACAGATAGGTTTAAAATTATTTTCTATTACGGACCACAATTTTACCTGAATTTAAATTCCGAAACTTTAGGTAATAATCTTGTTGCATTGTATGTTAATGACCACCCTTGGATAATCCAATTCAAAAGCAATTGGTCACTTTCTTATATCTATGAACAGACCATACATGCGAAATTCACACTTTCGTCTAAACCTAACAAACATTTCATTAATACAGGCCTACTGACCTAAAGAAACATTTATCTTGCTCTTTTGCAAAAAATTATTGAAAACTAATGAAATCGGAGCAAGTCTTTCGTTTTTTTTTTGAGTTTCGGCTTAATAGTTTGATCATTAAACCTAAGTGCTTGTTGCTAAGGATCTATGTCTTTTAGGTCCTATTATTAGAATTAGAATATTTTGTTCTAATACTGGCAAGTTTTTCATTTATTCTAAGGACAACCTTATTTAAAATATCATTAGTTATAGTCCATTTTTAGATACTTTCTTCGACTTTACACTTTTTCCAGGAGATTTTGCTTGCTCAAAAACATAGAAAATAATGTTGTAAATTCTGGTTCTGAAATTTACTGGTAGAGTTTCAGCAATATTCCTTGTGGTTTCTTCGCTTTTCTCCTCCGATAGTAACGTGTCACAAACATGTAACGTATTTGATGAGGTGGGGCCATGGTAGGGAACGATGCGATTGCGATTGCGATTGAGAATCTGATGCAGTTACAAAAAATAATTTTCCGAATAAGCATAATTGCAACGATATGAGTTTTGCTAAATTTGAGTTAGTTTTTGATGTCATTAGATAGACAAACAATGGCCCAATAACTCAAACAAAACCACATTCCAATATCTCCATCCTAATGTAAAATATTATGAAAAGAACTTAACGTTCCAATAAAAAAAGGGATTTTGGTGAAAAACTTGTTCTTTGCAGGTTATTATTAATGTCTAATTATTGCAAATTTGTTATTTAGATTTACAAATGATATTTAAAATCAGAATAAAATGTCCAGCAGAATGGTGTAGATAAAAGACTTTAACACTAACAACAAAGCAAAAATAAAATGAATAAAATTGATTAACATCGGAAGTAGATAGCAAATCTGGAATACTTCAGGGAGACAGCCTAAACCCACTCTTAATAATAAAATAATTTTTAAAAATAGAAAATCAACCACATTTCATACAACATCGTTGATGATGCCGATGATGCTATGGACAGACATTACTTATTAAGTTGAACACCAGAGAGAGAATTATTGTTTTGATAAAAGAAATTTGTACAGCTTACTTTTAATTACTTTTAATTACTTCTAACTTACTGAGTTGATGTGTAATATCATGACTGTTAACAGAAGCAATTCTCTTAGAGTAGACCACATTGCTTTACAGTTATTTTATCTATTAGATTAGTATGTTTTCTTTTCCGCTCTAACTGCAGCGGTAACCATATTTTTAAATCTTTTATAATTTTCAAAATCAACTACAGTTTTGGTACTTCTATATTTAGTACGCAGTTGCATAAGACGTAAGTTGTTCCTTAACTACGGGGCATAATTTTTTGTTTTGAACGGAGCATGAATATTTTAAAATATGTCGACATTAGTTGAGATATATGAGATATAATAGACATTCCACAACGGAATTCAACTTAGATCAGCATCAAACTGAACAAAATTTAAATAGTCTCAGGTAGTTTTAAATCTTGCTGGGAAATCTTTTCGTAATACTGAAAGAGAACAGCAAAACTAGAGCGTAGTCAGTAATATTAGGTACACCAATTATTCCCGCCTCTAATTTTTCTTCATCATCCACACACAAAAAAAAAAGTTTTTCAACAGAAGGAACAATTTCCTATATTGTGTTTTCTAAAGTGCTATAAAAAAAGTAAGTATGTAAGTTCTATCCACAGTTGTTTTATTTCCCTGTCAACATTAATAACAGAATAGTTAAAGGGGGATTTAACACTTCAACACTTCCCCGTTGGTCACCGTCGTATCCTGAAGGGCTTCTTGGCATATTGTTTCACTATACACGTTGAAGTCCATTATCAACTTTAAAGCTGTCTGTCTGGTTCCAGTACAAGTTGTGTGTTATTTCAATAAAACAAGTAAACTTTTTGATTTATATCGAGGCATCGTTGTGTAAGGATGTCTAAGCCGAATAGAACGTCATGAGTACAAAATTCTTGGCGAAGTTCTATTTGAGTGTCACCTATGCCTCGACCTAGTTTCTAAATTATCTTCTAAAACAACTTTGCATTTGCTTTTTTTAGAATTGCTATAAATGTGGACGTATGTGGTATTACTCCTGTTGTGTATGTGGTACAAAAGATGTATCGCAATTCGTCGTTCATTAGATTAAGCATTCGACTGTGATTTCATCCATGGTATTATCTCTGTTATCGATAACTAGTTCTTTTATATACTCAGTCTATCTTAGTTTCTATTTCCAGTTCTCGATAATACCTAACAACCCTCAAAGTGGAAAATTTTACCAAAATGCAACTTTTCATTAACGGTTAAATTTAAATTAAATGTATCCATATTTTTGGTTAGGATAACGGTGCAGATTCTCCCAGCTTGGTGCACCTTTATTTGACTAAAATCAAAAAATTCAAATTGTTTCACAAAACGCCACCTGTAGGCGAGGTAAGCAACGGCAATTGACACTTCAAGAAAAACCCCCTTTAACGACTCCACGTTTATTAAAATACGTTTGGAGATATGATAAATGATAACACCACTTTTCTCGCACAGATGGAGCAAACAGCAGCAAACAAACAAGATAAAAATTTATCTCAGCTCTAAAATAGTATTCATTTTAACTATGGTTAGTTTTGGTTAGTTTTTAAATTCAAGGTAGCAGTTACGCCCCTTGGTGGCAATTTCAGAAAGTCGTATCTACCGTACCTCGTTGCCCTTATATACAGTATATCTAGTACTAATGCAATATTGTTGGTTTACTTCAGATGCAAATTTATATGCCCATTACGTGTTCAAGGCCTTTGATGTCAACTGTAACGGGGCAATTAGTTTTAGGGTACGTATTATTAGTTTCTATACCACATTAAAATCTCGCTTTAGTCATCAGTTTGGTGAAAACAAGCACAATTAAAATAATAAGGGAAATCAAGTAGTAGATCCCTGTCAGACTCTTAAATAATATTTTTTAATCTACCTAGAATAGAAAGTTACAGGTTCATTAACTAGTAAGTTTTGATTGTTTTAACAGTAATTTTTTTTATGTCTTGTATCGTTCTCACTTGTGATTAATTAATAATAATAATAATAAAATTTTGTATTAATTCGACGATTATGAACATATTTCATCATGTCATCAATTATCAAACTAAAATGAAATTGACACTTTTGTGGCTAATGTTTTAGGTTAACACTGAATTCCAGTTCAATAACAGTTTGATATATGATATGATTAGCGAGCGATCTACCTTGAGATTTATGAAACTTCTAGTGAATCATGTTGAAAGTACGTCATCTGAGTACTGTTTTCTAACATGGAGTTGATGAAATATTGCAAAAAGTTTATATGAACTTGGAACTCAAATTTATTTTGTCAGTACCGTGGACTGTGAAAGGAAATTGTTTTCTCTATCTCGCCGCTTTGAAATTGTATTAAAATCCTTTCAGGATTTTATTTTTGCAGAAAAATAAATTCATAATATGTATAAAAAACGTAAAACGTTTCATTTTCAAATATTAGAAATTTTAAGTAAAAAATTAACAGAAATCGCCCATGTGCGTTACATAGTGATCTCCGATGTTATTATTGTTATTATTAACGACATGTTTTTTACGTTGGAAATAAACTTCTCAAGAGTGAAATTGAAATAAGGAATTGCTTTGTATATTTCGAAAACGAAAAATGTCTTTTTCTTAAAACTGCTACATGCTAATAAAACCCTTTTAAAATAATCGTAGATGTGTTTAATAGGATTAAGGTCTGAGGAGTTTGCTGGCCAGTCCAAAATTTCGATATTTTGCTCTTCGAAGAATACGGTCTACTCTATCCCGGAAGTGTAGGATCGCGCATTATCATGTTGACAGAAAACACTTCGCGACTGTCGAATTTAAAACATTTCTTGCATATCAGTTGTCATATTTTAAAAAGCTTCAAGAACTAGTCTTCTCAGTTAAGCTTCAAACACGCTGGTAACAATAATTTTTGCAATATTCCCATATGAAAAAATCCAGTGGAGTGAGATTCTGCTGCTGCCGAATGAATAACTTCCCATTTTCCGGAAATTTGTCCGATAGCGCACTAATAGGGCCTTCCTGTTGAAACCAACAGTTTTTAACTTTTGCAAGCTGTAAGTTATCCAACGTTTCTTCAATGTGGTGTACTGGATGATTACCTTTTACGTAATAATATGCATTTCGCAGGTTAAAAATTCCATTATTTGTTACCATACTTTCGTCCGACCAAATTATGTTTCGAGGAAAATTTTCATTTTTATGCTAGTTCCTAGTTATATTATTCGCAAAATGCTCTCTGCCTTTCTTTATCACCAGGTCTGAGCGCTTGTTGAATTCTAAGTTTGAACGGGTGAAATTTTTGTTTTCTCAAAATAAAATGTCAAGTAGATTTTCCAGTTGGACGTTTCATTATTCTAACAGATGTTTCGGGATTTTCAGTTTTAGATAACAATACATTATTTACTTTTTATTTTTGCTGGGTTTATTTTTGGATAAAACTGCTATCATAAACACACCACATTGTTTTAGATTTGTAGCTAAACTTTCAGGAATTTGTGTATTTGGTAATCTTTTCTCTGTTTGTATCTGTGATGAGAAAAGGCGGAAATATAGGGTATTTTTTTATGTATATAAAAAATTTCACCTTTTTCACCTTTTATATTAATTACATTGAAATGTTTTAACAGTTTGGAAAATTCTGTCTTTAAGTATAAGATTTTTTAATCTCCCCCATAAAAAAATGTTGAAATATTGAAATAAAGTTCATTGGCTGTCTCTACGTTTTCGTTAATTTAACATTTTTTCATAATTTTAGTATACTTTTAATTGCTCAAAGGACTAAAAGCTTAAGTTTAGCCACTAAAATTACGCGTGACAGAATACAAATTTCAATAAAGGATAACAGTTATGTCCTTATTTGCACGGCCTACTAATACATAAACAAAAAATGCTCTATATTTCCGCTTTTCTTCATCACAGATATCAACAAATCCGTATGACATTTGAATTTTTTTTTGAGACCACAGCCAATTATAATTGCTATATAAAATAAGAAAGTTGTATTCATTTTTGGGAAAACGTAGAACTGTAAAAAAATTCTCACATTAAAAAAATGTTTTTATGAGAATCCAGAATTTTTAACAATAAATAAGTTATGGGCATTTTACAAACGAGATAAAAATTGAAAAACGCCCTATATGTCAGTTGGTGGTGAAGATATCGCGATTATAACTATAAAATTTTTCTCAAAAATTAAACTCTTGACAATTTTGCTGCATCTAGTTCAGAAATAGGTTGTTCCTGTTAAAGCATGCCAATTACAACCACCTTGTACAATATCTTTCAATTAACGGCGAGTACATAGCACCCACGAAACATATATAAGTTGTCATTATGCTCTATTATGACCCCAGACCATAATAGAGCCAGCTCCAGAATGAACAGTATCGATAACGTTTTGTTCATGAAATCATCCACTTCATCGTCTCGAAACTCGCACACGCGCATTATTGTGGCTAAGCTATATCTGAACTCATCTATAAACAGTACGTGCCTCCACTAATCCGTATTCCAAGTTAAATGTTATGTAGCAAAAATTTTATCTTTTATGTTTTGTTTCTGTGGATATTCGCTTTCCTGTGGCATTAAAATTCTTCTTGTTGTAGCATGTCTTACCAAATTACGATCTTGTGTTGTCGCCATTTTTCTTGAACGAAAAGATCTTCTTCTAACTATACTTGACTCTCGATATTTGCTCATGGACCTAAAATTATTGGTTTAAAGTCTTCGACCGATACTTCTAATAGAGAAACCTTCTTTTGCTTCCATTTAATTTAAATATCTCCTTTGACCAAGAGGTGTTTTCAATTTGTCTTCGAAAAACAAGTTTTTCTATGCAAATCTGTTTGTTTGTGTTGTGCTTCTGTATTATAAATGACAACAAATATTATAACAGGATTACTCAAAAAGTATTAAAAATAAGCGTTTTTTATAGCATTCCTTATTTCGTTTTATCACTATTTTATTAAATGTATTCTTGGCATTCTTGACGTACGCTAACTCTGTAACTCTGTAATTTGGGTCATCGTCGTCACCACCTCAGCAGCTCCAACTTCCAAACAAATTATTGCAAATATCGGATATTTAAGGATCAGTTTCAAATCACACCTTGCCTACTCTTAACGAGACTTTTAAAACCCACACTTCCCCCGACGAGTATTAAAAATCGCTTTAAAAACTGTAAGAAAAAATTACGCTTGATTCGATTTGGAAAACTTTTTAGGATTTGCTTATCACGCTGTCGACGTTACTTCGGGGTAGCGTTTACGAGAGACTACGGTGGACCTTTAAACTGTATGACATTAATGGCGACGGATGCATCAGCAGAGGCGAACTTTCCGAAATCGTCATAGCAATACACGAACTCATGGGCAGGCGAGCACACCAGGTAAATTTAACTATGCTATGTTTCTTAATTTTCAAAGACAGGGCCATTGATCAGGGTATACAATTTAAAATTTGTATTGATAAATTCCAATTTTAAAAATTTCGTATTTTAGTTTTTAATAATAATAATAATAATAACAAACAGCCTTTATTTAAAAAAAAAGGAACAACGTATCTATTAACAACATTTTAGAACAAGATTGCTTTCAAAAAATCGTCGCTGGGCGGGGCAAGTTCGTCGCAAATAGCGCGAATCAGCTTTTTATTTTAAAACGAAGGTGCTTCGCGGATTCTTGTCCTAGAGGGACGCATTGTTTATCTATAGTGCTCCTGCGGACCACTATGGAAGTTTCGCCAAAATCGATGTAATTTGATTGTGAGTACACCATGTATAAAGTGTCCTTCACATCTCATCGAACTTCATTCTCAATTCTCTCAATTCTCAATAAGTCAATTTCGATAATATCCCTGTCAGAATCTGCTTTTCGCCTCTCATTGCACCTCAATCTACCTTAGAAAAGCAGATATGTACTTAAAACCATTTTTTGGGACAAATAAATCTGCTACAAATAAAGAGCGAAAACCATTTATTTGTCCCAAGAAGAGGGGTTTTATCGATCTCATCGAAATTGGCAACTATTTGACTGAGAAAGGGGGTTTTACACCGATATCCAATGATTTATAGAGGTTTTCATTACTATAAAGCTGGAAGATACCAATTTTGACTAGTATTTGAAACACATTGAGTACAAAAGGTAACTGTTTGGATCAAAAAATGATAGTTTGAGCTGATATCTGCAGTTTTGATGCGATTTTAAGTTCGATATGTGTCGGAGGAGTCGATTTTGATTGGAATCTGTTTGAAAAATGGAAGAAAAACCTACCATTAATCCAAGAAAGAGGGTTTATAACACTGTTCGAACGAATTAGCTATTTTTTACGATTTTTAATTTACGGTAAATTAGTAAATTATTACTCTCTAAAAGAACAACTTACAGGGTCCTTAAAATTTTTGTCCATAACTAAAACACCTTGTATATAATCGAAAAAATGCGTAGTACAAAAGTTTCAGCTGTCTATGTAGCCCATATATATCGTCATGTAAAAGAAACTGACATCTAAAACACAGATTTGAAATTATTGTCAATTTTCAATAATAGGGGGACCCATTTTTCAGTTTTTTTGAATTTGCAGCTCACCCTGATATTTTTGAAAAATTGGCAAGAATAAAAGTTTATGGAGCTGTATCCTTTGCGTCTTCAGTTTCAAGATTTTTTTCGGTCTTGTAAACGGTTTTTGTAAAATGGTATTTTTTGTTGACCCTTGCACACGCGATTTTTAATTTTCTTAAAATACTTCTCGACCTCCCAGCCCCCCACTATGTTATGTCACAGAGCAAAACTGCATATATGTGCCAAATATGAAGTCGATTGCTTCGAATTTTAGACACATCGTGTTTCATAGCAATGGTCAAAAAACAGTCGAAAATCACTAAAAAAAAGATTATGTATCTCATGGAAGGTTAAAAAAGAGGCAAATTTCAATGTTGTATCTCCAAGGGTTCAAATGTTATTCAGCAAAAACCAAAAGACGAGAACGGAGAACGGATAGACAAAAAAATTTTTTTGGACGCTGATCATTTATGTACTAATTGCGATCCCATAAGTCCTACCGTTACCGAGATATAAAATTTTTATACGAGCGTATATACTTTATTTTTCGAAAGTTACAAGCGAAACTTACCAGAGAGCTCAATAGTCACGGAGTCTAGCTTTCAATAGCAACTCTGCTGGACCACTATATAGAACTCTTAATGCAGTTAATAAATTGCGCAATATTTATTAAAATATACATACAAATTTGTATTAATTTATTACTTAAACCTGTAAAATCGAAAGAGAAAAGAAAACAGAAACAACAAACCATACTCAGGGAGTAACACGTTTTAGGAAAATTGTATTTCTAGCAGAAGATCCTTGTAGATTTTTTTAAAATGCATTTAAATTTAAGTTAGCGAATTCCTTTGACATGGAATTGTAGAAAGGGCACTCTGATGATGTGATATCGTTAGTCTGTTTCAATATCTTACTTTTACCAGATGGATGGTACTTCTAGGAATAAGCCGATCTCTTAGCAAAGTCGGTGAATCGAGATTATGTAAAATTTTCATGCTGAGCTCTTTGTTCCATTTTGAGACGATTAAGTGGATATATTTTCATATAATGATATACGTAATAAAACGTACACAAGCATTCTGCAACCTCTGAATACGGCGTCCTAGACTCACCATGGATAACAAAACCATAGATCACATGACAGTAGTGTGAGACGCACAAAACTTTTATTAACGAAATTGCAGATTTTCTTTCTTGAGTCATTAAAATTGGACGGGGTGTTACTTTTAGGTAATGGTTTCCCAAGCGACATTTTCCAGCTATCTTCTATCCTAAAATAATTTATAACAATAGTGACATACTTATTAATGAATACTTAAGCATAAGTGGAGATATTTCGTCGAGTCCAGTGTCATTTGTTTTAATTTCATGGATATATTTATGAACATCAGAAATTTTTGATAATTCAAAACAAAAACGTAAATCATTATTGAAACTGCGCAAAAAACGTATTGATTTTTTCAGGATTATTCAAAATACTTGAAGTGTGTCTTGAGTGTCTATTTGTGAGTTAATATTAAATTTTTTTAGAACAGCCCAAGTTTGTTTGGAGCTATTTCAATTGCGCAGTTAATCTAGATATACCCTCTTGTGGCGTGTTATACAATAATGTGTTCTTATGTAGTGTAACATTCCTTACGTTTTTATATAGAAGGCTATAATTATTATACAATTTTTTTTTAATATCTGCATCAAACATTTTGTGTCAACAAATTAGTCGTTGGTTCACTTGTACGGAATTTTTAACTGAGGCACGGACATGAGTAACGCCATCAGAAAATTACATAAAAGTTTCCAAAACAACGATACCTTGCAATTTTGGGTTTTAAGACTTACAAGACTCGAATAATTTCTGACAACCTTGCATTCAATATAAAGATGAGATACTACACCAAGTTTATTAGTAGATAATTGAGTCATTAATTATTCTACGATCAAGTAAATAAAATCATATATATTGTAATATATATAAAATCTAGAATTTATAATACAACTTCATTTGTAAATTTTAGTCAGCATGTGATGAGTAGTCAGATGAACTATAGTTAATTTTTCAAAGAAACTGTAATACTTTTATAAAATTTCTGGATTCCAGAAGTTTTATAAAAAATGAACTATAATTGTTAGGGTCCAGAGTTCATCATGAACAAACGATAGCGAAACTCTACTATGTTCCCACATCGTTGTTTCTATTTCAGTTACGTTTTTGACGAATTTACTCCATTTTTCACAATGCACTGCGGACAACAAATTTCGCACCACAAAATAAGAAACGGTATGAAATTGACAATTATCGTTCGATATAAAGCGTAATGTTTTAAAAGTAAAAAAAAAAATATGAATTTGTGCAGTACAGTTCAGCAAACATGTCTACTAAGACTTTTTTTAGGAATTTTTAAGGTTACTAAACATCAACTAGCGTCTGCTTGGCGGTATATTCTCCAAAATTTTGCTGAATGCTGTTTTACATCTATCCCAAACCATTGTGTATATTCAACCACATGGAATATATGTGGAATCAAGCAAAATCAAAAACAAAAATTTAATTTAATATGTAATTAATCATGTCCCTGTTCTCTTGAAAAATTCACTACACCACATTTTATAAATTGAAGATTCTCACATTTCTATATAAAATAACATAGAGCATACGAGGTGCGTTCAAAAAGTAAGGTGACTCTTAGGTTTTATCAAAAAGTATTTATTTATTTATCCAAAATTAATGTTGTCCCCTTCAAAGTAATTCCCCTATACATATAATACACTTGTGCCAACGTTTTTTACAATCCTCGAAGCACTTTCTGGTATAGCCTTGAGTACTTCCAGCGATTTTTTCTTTATCTCTTTTATCCTTTATGGACTTCTTGAGTTTTGGGAACAGGAAAATGTCGCAGGGGGCCATACCCGGTGAATATGGTGGCTGAGGCATGATCATGGTTTTGCTTTTGGCCAAAAAGTTAGACACAAACCACGATGAGTGAACAAGTGCATTATCCATGAATTGTTTTCCCACAATTCCGGACGTTTTCTTCGTATTGCTTCTAGCAAACGGCGCATAACTTCAAGATAATACTCCTTATTGGCCGTAGGACCTTGTGATAAGAACTCTTGATGTACTACGCCACGATAATCAAAGAAAACATAAGCAAAACCTTACATTTGATCGAACTAGGCGGTCTTGGCGGTTCTGGGCTCCATTGGGATGACTGGGCTTAGGTTTCGATGTCTTATCCCCATGATTAGTCACCAAAAATTGCATGGCATAAGCCAGTAGAGATGTTGAAGTCTTCAGCCACTTCTCTAATAGTGATTCGACGATTTTTCAATGCCATTTGTTTCGCTTTCATCAGTTATTGACGTGTTGTGGCGTCCAGAGCGAAGTTCGTCTTCTCAACTATCTTAGAACAGCTTGTGATATATAGTTTTTTTTTGCTCAAAGTAGATTCACCTTATGCCGTTGTCAACATTTGAAGTGTTTTGCAGCACTGTATTCCATTTTTTACACAAAATGTTATACAAATTCCTTGTTCCAAGTGAAAATCATCGAGTACACAAAACACGTCTAACCCTTCTGCCTCACAAAAATAGTAAACGTCAAACTGGCTGAAACTGTGAACATATATCAAGGTTATGTGTACCAACACAACAAAAGAAAATATCGAAGATCGAATATACGTAGCCCGTCAAATTACAAAAGTCGACTTACTTTTTGAACACACCTCGCCTAGTAATTAATCTTAATGATGACTGTGAGAGCGAAACAGAATAACATTTTTACGTTACATTTTTGTATTATTTTTACATACTTTACGTATTATATCATACT